AAGGATCCAGGCTACAGGACGTTTGGTCAGAATAACCAAACACTTTACTCTAGGTTGGCTGGAAAAACCAATCTAGAGGTTGGCCGGAAAAACCAACACCCCTCCTAAGCCCAGGATAAGGATCCAGGCTGCAGGACGTTTGGTCGGAATAAACTAAACACTTTACTCTAGGTTGGCTGGAATAACCCAACTTAGAGGTTGGCTGGAAAAACCAACCTAGAGGTTGGCCGGAAAAACCAATATAAAGGTTGGCTGGAAAAACCAATCTAGAGGTTGGCCGGAAAAACCAATATAAAGGTTGGCTGGAAAAACCAATCTAGAGGTTGGCCGGAAAAACCAATATAAAGGTTGGCTGGAAAAACCAATCTAGAGGTTGGCCGGAAAAACCAATATAAAGGTTGGCTGGAAAAACCAATCTAGAGGTTGGCCGGAAAAACCAATATAAAGGTTGGCTGGAAAAACCAATCTAGAGGTTGGCCGGAAAAACCAATATAAAGGTTGGCTGGAAAAACCAATCTAGAGGTTGGCCAACTGTTAGTACTCTTCAGCCGAGGTAGGTATCTCGGCTGAAGAGTGGTTGGCAGCTATAATTAGATTGCAAGATCAAGACCAAAATAAGTATCTCGGCAAGTGAATGTTGTAGCTCATCCAAGACTTCGATTAGAAAGTAAAGTACAAGCATGCAGATCAACCGAAATAAGAGTTGAACAAAAAAACAGACTTCATTAAAAATTCAAAACAAGTACAAAGGGTGGGGCCTCAGCCCGGTTACAATTTGTTTCCAACAGCAAAGAAAAGAAAAAAACAAAAAGAAGAAAAATACAAAGTCAGTTAAACAGATCATCAAGGTCGGCATCAATATCAACTCGGAGCCCGGTTTCACTCGGTAGCACGGTCTCGGTTGGAAGAACGGTTGCAGTAGGCAGCTCGTTGGTCAGATCTTCCACCATTAGCTCCGACCGAACTGACTGATCGACGAGATCACTGACAGCCGGGGTATCTTTGGGCATAGTGTCTTCTTCATCATCTGAATCTTCAAGAAATTGTTGCTGAAGGGCAGCAGCATATTCCGTCATAGAGCCTGGAATGAAGTATGCTGGAGCGTTGAAGACCTCGGTCTCTGGACCGTGACCGAGCTGCTCTACAGCTGCCCTCCAACCGCACTTGAAGAAGAGATCCTTGGCAGCTTCACATTGTTTAATATAAGTCGCCTCCCCCTCCTTGTAACCCCGAAGCTCGGCGTCATCAGCATCCTTCTTCAGCTGCTCTATCTCAACGTTTTTCTTGCCCTCAAGTTTAGCAAGTTCGCACATATATTTATCTTTGATAACGGCTGCAGCCTTTTGTTTTTCTGCTTCAGCCGAGCTGACAAGTCCGGTCAGACGACCGTTCTCGAATTTTAGCTCAGCTATTTGCTGTCTGGCTTATTCCAGCTCAGTAGTTTTTTCTGTTACTTCGGCCAGCGCTTGCCTTGTAGTCTTACAGAGTTCAAGCACTCGCTTATGAGCGATGTGACTCTTTTGCATGGCCTGCAAAAAGAGGGGGACTTGAAATCAAACCGAGATAAAAGTAGTGCAAATCAGTAAGATTAAACAGAAATAGCTACTTACGAGCACCATGGATTGGGTGGCCGAGCGGATGGCCTTTAGCTCGGTCAAATTTTTGTGATGCTCTATGTCTGCTGGAAGGCAAACACTCCTGGCAAGGTTGAATGCCATCATGTGATCCTTCTTAGCGACCACCGAGTCAGTATCCTGGATATCTCGGTTCTGGAAAGTCATTTTCGGAGCTCACTTGCAGGAGCTAGCCCAGTCAGAACGCTCCGGCTAAGGGCTCAGGCTTGGTGGAAGGATGGTTTCATCTTCATCAGCAAGGCGTTGCTCAGTTTGGGTAGTCCGGGCGCGCTTGCTTAGGCGTGATGAAGAGGGTTGTTGAGATGGAAGGGCCACCATTGTTTCCTGAGTCTGGTTTTGTGGCGGTACTTCGACTCGGTGGGTTTCGGTTAAGAGGACCCTTACTCTGTTCCTCTTCACCATTTCTTCTTCTTCGGTAGTACGAACTAGGTTAATTTATGGCAAGTTGGGGTCCGATTCGGGAGAGGCTTCCAGTAAGAAGTCTGTTATTCTGGCTTTACGTCGGTTACTGTATCCGTACGTCGGTTCAAAATTCAGCAGCTTGGCCCAACTTCTTTCTGGATATTGTAGTGCGGTGCGGAGAGTGTTCAGATTAGGGTAACTGTATAGTGATTGAAGATGGGTTGAATCTGCATAAAGAAGACAACTATTAGATCGATTCAGGAATAGGAAACCGAAATAAAACAGAAGCATGCAAAGAAACCGAAGTAATTATACCAGGGGTTCCTTTATTCCAGTTTATACTGCAGCCTGGGATCTGGGCTTGGTAGTCTTCGAAATTGCCAGATACCTAGAAAAAATCGTCATCGTTTAAGTCTTTGTCCGGTGTGTCCTTTATTATTTTCTCACGCCGACGTCGTATTCTTAAATAATAAACCCACCCGTCTTCTTTTGAGCCTATAGAATATTGGTGAAAGAGTTCGGCTAAGCCAAGGTTAATACCGGCACGGCGGTTTAGCTCGGCTATACCATTTATTATGCGGTATGAGTTTGTGGAAAGCTGAGTTGGGCATATCCTAGTTTGCCTAAGGAATTCACAAAGTAAGGGCTGTACAGGGAATCTTAGGCTGGTTTCTACAATGGAAAGGAGGGTGAATGGAACAAAACTAGGGTTTCCCCAAGGTATGATATCTTGTTCGGCTAAGGTGAGATGGACGTCGTCAGGAATGTTATACTCCCTTCGAAATTTGGCCAGGCCACCAAGTGTTTCTACTAAAAACCTATATTTACCCATTTTATCTTAAGTTATGAATAAATTATACTTGTGATTAAAGCTTAGCTCAGCTATGTGAAATGCTACGTGTCTTAGCCCGGTTTTAAGCAAGGATTTGGTTATCTCGGTTTGCACTAGGGATTTGGTATCTCGGTTTATACAAGGGGTTCGTTATCTCAGTTCGTGCAAGGGTTTTGTTAGCCCGGTTGAGCCTCTAGGAGCAGCACTCGTAGTTCGGTTGAACTACGAAGGCTGGTTTAGCCTCAGTCATAGCTCGGTCGTGGTCGAGGCTTTCAAACATAGTATTGCATAGACCTAGTACGGTTCAAAAGATCGGCTAGTTGAATCACAAAGAGGTTTTATTTCTTGAAATTACTGGTATAGCATGAAGTATTAGTTCGGTTGGATAAGTCTGACTAAGATTCACAGCAACTACAAACAACTTTCTAGTCCAGTTGCATCATGATTCTGGATCGAAACTAGTGTTTTTCATGTTATTTCTTGAATCCAAGTGGTTCTATTACTAAGTTCTTGCAGAAAACACAAAGCTAAGCAGAAAATGGAAGTAGGCATGGTGTGTTTTGAAAAACATGTAATGTATTACAAAAAAGGTGCGACATCAACCAAAAGGAGTTAGAAGGATGTGTTACTTACTAGATTACAGCAGAAAATCAAAGACGGAAGCAACGACAGTGAAGAACACGAACTCAGCAAACTCAGGGGTTGAAGATATGGAGACACAGAAAGAGAGAAGAGGAATTGAATAGTAAAGTAAATGATTCTAAACCTTGAGGATTGTTTTGTGAAAAGAGAATAAAGGTCGAAAAGGCGGGAACTGTTCAAAAAAAGCGAGGTACGAAGGCGGCGTGACAGCTGCCTTCAGCCAATAAGAGCTTTTCACGTGTCCATGAAATGAGAAGCGTTTCAGTTGCTATGATTGAAGAGACGTTTTGACCGGATAGGTACAGCCCGGTGTGAATTTCGCTCGGCTGGAAAGGCTAAAAGAGTTTTTAGCCCGGCTGGAAAGGCTAAAAGGGTTTTTAACTCGGCTGGAAAGGCTAAATGGTTTTAGCTCAGTTGGAAGGCTGAAACTTTTTAGCTCGGCTGATGGGAGGTAATCCCTATCATGCAGTGCAGATGGAATTAAGGGGCAATTGAGAGGGTAATTTATATGTAAATTTGGCCGAGCTGGGCAATAGGTTGTTCTTTGGGCCGTAATGAAGAGGCTAGGGAGATGGGCCACGGTCAAGTGTTAGCTCGGTCCAAAGTAAGGCTCTTGTCGCCAGACTAAGCAAAAAGGCTTGGTAATTAGTCTGGTCCTAAAAAGGGCAACGGTTAATTCGGTCACTACAATTAGAAGAAGTTAGTTCGGTCACGCCATTCGGAGCTGAGATACAGCGACTTCACATGGTAAGCCTAGCTTTGGTCAGCCCGGTCCAAGCTTGCTATGGTTAGCTCGGTCTCAATAGGTAAAACCGGGGTACAAACTGTGAAGAGAGAGCCGAGCTAACTAGAGTTCGGTCGTTTTGGCCCGTTTAGCATGGCTTTGTTATCCCGGTCGTTTTGCCATACTACCGGTTTGAAACCATCTCACTTGGTTTAAGCAGTGAGGGGGGTGTTGAAGGATAAGTATTATCTTTCAGGAGTATGAATCCTAAGAGGACTCTATATGGAAGAGTAAAAGTCCAACTAGGATTATGTCACACGGAACCTACAAAAGTTCACAAACATCACCTATGGAGAGGTAATGCACAACTTTGATTCTCGAATACACAGAGCTTTTGTCTTTGTCTATTTTGTTGATTTAGGCATCGGAAAGGTATCCGGCACACACTCGCCGGCTAGCTCACGATTGTATTTTCAGGGAGTAAAGCGACGACGTACGGAGGAGCGCAGACTTGATCAATAGGATTATACGGGAAGAATATTTCGTACCCGTACATTTTTGATTTTTTATAAAATATGAGTTAGGTTTGAATTAGATTTGAAGTGATATGATAAAGAGGTGATGTAACTTAAATAAGATGATATGACTTAAATAGAATAGTGATTTTTTAATGGGTAATGCTACGTCGCTCGAAAATGACCCCCCCGAATCCCCCTAAAGGCAAAAACGACATCGTTTTTACCTCTTTTTTTTTCAGAAGCAGAAATCAGAAGAAAGAGGAAGAAGGAGAAGCGGAGGAGGAGGGGAAGGAGGAAGAGGAAGGAGGAGGAGGACTGGAGGGGGTCCTAATCACAGGGGGAGGAGGAGGTGGAGGCGGGGCCAGAGGCGGAGACGGCGGTCGGAGCTGGAGTTGCTGCTGCTGCTGCGACGAGCTGGCAGCGAGGCGACGACGGCGGGCGGTGAGGCTCGCAGCCCTCTTCTTCCCCTCTCTCTCTCTCCTCTATGATTTCGGAGAATTCAAGGAAAAAAGATTAGAAGGACAAATTATTATCCTTTTTTAATTTTTTTTAAACTCGTCAAACCAAGCCTAATTTTTCACCAATAGACTAGCCAGTCATTATTCTTTAATTGAACGCCGTTTCTGACTTGTTTCAACTTCTAATAATATGCTTTGTCAGAAGGCTCGTCAAAATTCTTTGTTGCAATAAACTCCTATTTCATAGTTATCTAGTCAAAGTTACTGTGCAAGTGATTTAGAAAGTTAATTAGAAGTTGATTTTTTATTTTTTTTGATTTTTGGACTTTTTTATATGTAAAAAAATATGAATGATAATATGATTTAAAATAAATTAAAAACTAAAACTTCATTTTTAACTAGCTTTCCAAATTTAGGTCAAATTTTGCAAGTTGAAAAAAAGTTAAAAAGTCAAAAAATTACTCAAAAAATTAAAAAGTTATCACTATTCACCAAAAGTCAAAAATTATGACTGTACAACTCTCAATCCTAATTTTTCTCTATACACTAATTTATACAATTTTTTAATACACATTTTTTCATAAAAAGTTAAAAAGTTAACCCAAACATCTATATTTTTTTCCTCAATTTTTTAGTCTAAAAAAATAAAAAATATATTTATTGAGACTTAGGGGTTGTTTGAGATGACCTAAATAAGTGTATTTTTTAATACACACACCCCTTTGCGTGTGTTGTCGTACTGTTTTACCAGTAAACAAATAAAATTTGTTAGAAATTTATTTCCTATATCAATGCCATAAAAGGGCATAATAAATTAATAAATTTAAAAGGTAATAATTAAAGAATTTAAAATTTATATTGTTATAATAATCAAGGATCCAATAATTATACTTAAAATAAAAGTGTTAATGATTTTATGACACATGCATTTTTATATTTATAATTCAAAAATCTTAAAAAAAATCAAGTTACGAGTTTTGAGTTGGATAAATTACAAATATACTATTGAGACTTAGGGATTGTTTGAGATGACCTAAATAAGTGTATTTTTTGTCTTTTTACGAAAAGATGTGCAAAAAAATAGAGAGGTGATGTGATGAAAAAAAGATAAAAAGATGGATTATTTTCAACTTTCCAAACTTGGCCTTAATTAAAATACGGATTGTCTCTTATGATTTAAAAAATTACAAATATCTCTTTGTTAGAATTTTTTATTTTATAGAATTAACTAAAAAAAATAAAATTTCTAACTACTCTCATATATAAGAATAAAATTATTTGAATTATTAGTTGAATAAGTTTTTGATATAATTAAAAATTATTAATTAACTAAATGATTTATTAATGAAATGAGTCAATTGTTATAAAATTTGAAATGTCAAAACGTGAAATGCAATTTTCAGAATTGGTAGGGACAATTTATATTTTAAATAAATCTGAGAGGGTGAATTTATAATTTATCGTTTTGAGTTCATAGACCTAAGAAAGTTTTATTTATATACTAATATAGACATAAATATAAAAAAATGTTTTGAAACTCTAAATTATGAGTTCTAAATGAGCTTTAGGGGGTGGGCTCTACCTATTTATGTGATATTTTGGCCTTAGATTTTTTTTGTATTTATTTATTTATTTATTAATAAATTTCTACCTCATCAGTACTCAATTAAAGTTCCAAAATTAAAAGAATGAATCATTGTCATATAAATATAGATTATCTTCTATTGATTCACACACACAAAAAAAAACCTAATTTGTCTTCCAAGACTTGCACATACGGGTGTACATTCATATGCTTGGACATGGACAAAGAAATTTATTATTTAGTTCAAATTTTTTCGAAATACCAAAAGTTATGATTTGTCATGGTGAATCATAATAAAAAATGTTACGATTCAAATGTTATGATAATTGATTACAAATAACTATATTTGTTATGAGTTGTCATTATATTGTTATGATTTATAATGTCTTTGTTATGACACTTTGGTGAACATTATGACTTTGTTATGATTCATTGTAGTATTGTTATGATATTTGAAAAAAAGTTATAATTCTTTCTGTAACCTCCTACATGACCGGTTTAACAGGTCATTTTTTATGATGTGGCACGATATGGACCATACAATAAGTGCATATCATATGCCCTTTTATAAGGTGCACATTGTAGATTTTCCCTTCATAGTTATCTAGTCAAAGTTACTGTGCAAGTGATTTAGAAAGTTAATTAAAAGTTGATTTTTTATTTTTTTTGATTTTTAGACTTTTTTATATGTAAAAAAATATAAATAATAATATGATTCAAAATAAATTAAAAACTAAAATTTCATTTTTAACTAGCTTTTTAAATTTAGGTCAAGTTTGGCAAGTTAAAAAAAAATTAAAAAGTCAAAAAATTATTTAAAAAGTTAAAAAGTTATCACTATTCATCAAAAGTCAAAAATTATGACTGCACAACTCTCAATCCTAATTTTTCTCTACACACTAATTTATACAATTTTTTAATATATATTTTTTCATAAAAAGTCAAAAAGTTAACTTAAACATCTATATTTTTTTCTTCAATTTTTTAGTTCAAAAATTAAAAAATACACTTATTTAGGACACCCCAAATAATCCATTTGCGTGTGTTGTCGTACTGTTTTACCAGTAAACAAATAAAATTTGTTAGAAATTTATTTCCTATATCAATGCCATAAAAGGGCATAATAAATTAATAAATTTAAAAGGTAATAATTAAAGAATTTAAAATTTATATTGTTATAATAATCAAGGATCCAATAATTATACTTAAAATAAAAGTGTTAATGATTTTATGACACATGCATTTTTATATTTATAATTCAAAAATCTTAAAAAAAATCAAGTTGCGTGTTTTGAGTTGGATAAATTACAAATATACTATTGAGATTTAAGGGTTGTTTGAGATGACCTAAATAAGTGTATTTTTTATCTTTTTATGAAAAGATGTGCAAAAAAATATAGAGGTGATCTGATGGAAAAAAGATAAAAAGATGGATTATTTTCAACTTTCCAAACTTGGCCTTAATTAAAATACGGATTGTCTCTTATGATTTAAAAAATTACAAATATCTCTTTGTTAGAATTTTTTATTTTATAGAATTAACTAAAAAAAATAAAATTTCTAACTACTCTCATATATAAGAATAAAATTATTTGAATTATTAGTTGAATAAGTTTTTGATATAATTAAAAATTATTAATTAACTAAATGATTTATTAATGAAATGAGTCAATTGTTATAAAATTTGAAATGTCAAAACGTGAAATGCAATTTTCAGAATTGGTAGGGACAATTTATATTTTAAATAAATCTGAGAGGGTGAATTTATAATTTATCGTTTTGAGTTCATAGACCTAAGAAAGTTTTATTTATATACTAATATAGACATAAATATAAAAAAAAAAATTTGAAACTCTAAATTATGAGTTCTAAAGGAGCTTTAGGGGGTGGGCTCTACCTATTTATGTGATATTTTGGCCTTAGATTTTTTTTGTATTTATTTATTAATAAATTTCTACCTCTACCTATTTATGTGATATTTTGGCCTTAGATTTTTTTTGTATTTATTTATTAATAAATTTCTACCTCATCAGTACTCAATTAAAGTTCCAAAATTAAAAGAATGAATCATTGTCATATAAATATAGATTATCTTCTATTGATTCACACAAAAAAAAAAAAACCTAATTTGTCTTCCAAGACTTGCACATACGGGTGTACATTCATATGCTTGGACATGGACAAAGAAATTTATTATTTAGTTCAAATTTTTTCGAAATCATAAAAATCAATTTGATTTCTGATTTATTTTAAAATTGGACAAATCCAATTCATGAACAGTGTTATGCTAGCAAAAAGACAAGAAATTTAGTTCATAATTTTATTCTACATTGGTTGGGTTCATGAAAATGATTCTTGGCAACCAATCATGCTAAGTGGCTCTAAATTAACCTTCCTTTGGGGCCCGGCAGCATGTGGTTTGAGCTGACTTGAAAACTTGTTACCAAACACTACAAACAACTTTAAGTTTGAAAGCAACTGAAGACCCAACTGAACCAAATCCATAAGTTAATCATCAACTTTTACTTAGAAACGCCATTAAACTCCACCTCACACTTGGGTTAGTTAAACTAACCTATATAAAATGATAAACATTGATCATCAAACCACTGAATGGCCCAGGGGAAATCATCTGACCACCACAGACCCTGCCTTCTAAGGCCTACGTATTCTTCATAGTCAATGCATTCATTATACACACTTCTAATAAATAAATAAAATTTTTTTTTAAAAATTAATATTCAACCTACTGGATCGACTAATTTAGGAGCCAATTCCACTTTTTATTAAGGGGGCTCAATTAAAACCGGTATAAAGATTGACCCCAGAAATTATCAATTAAAGTCGGGACAAAGTATTTTATTGACTGATTTTAAGAAATTATTTCCATCTAAAAAATTTCGAATTTGAAATTTTTGAAGGACCACGTTCTTAGACTCCCTATCTTGACCACCAAACTCATCCCTTGAGGTTTGCATTATACATACCCCACATTTTCCTTTCTAAAATGAGAAGAAATTTTTTTTCAGTAAGTATCACTTATTATATTCAATATAATTATACTAAATTTGTGAAATTATTATATTTTCTCTAAACCTTTAAGGGAGATTAGTGTAATTTTTTTTTTTCACACATCTATATTAGCTCTAGTCCCTTAACATTACTAAAGAGAAGTCGGTGTAATTATATAAAAATTATAAGATTTTTCGTTTTTCAAATCTCAGAAAAGGTCAATAAAATTTATAGAATATATTTTTAAATTCCAAATCATTAAAATTTTCACATACCATGTTGAATTTTTTTTGGAGAAACTAGAGATCAGCCAATTTAATCAAAATATTTATAAAAAATGGCAACAAGGAGTAGAAGTCAATTATATACATATATATTACAAAAAAAAAAAAAATCTCAATAAAAAATGTATCTAAAAAAATTCTCA